TCTTACTATTAAGATGAAACGGTTGCCTGGCTGAGGCATTGGGACAATCCTTAAACTGAAATCCATTCTGAAATCCCCTTTTTTCACTGTGTTGCTGACCAGTTACCACATATTGCTCCTGGGGGACTGCAGAACGTATGCCGCTAGTTGTTTTGCTTGTTAGTAAGGTTAAGCATTGCATAACTTTCTGCATTTCACTTCTTGCATTAAACATTTTGAATCTAACGGCTACATCTATCTTTTTGAATCTATCTAATGGCTACATTGGAAGTTTTAAAATTAAGGACTTTCTGAAGAAACTACCTTTTAAACAATGTCAACACTTCTCGGCCACCGTATCAAATTATGGCATCATGCCCAGTTTCCTCTCACAGATCCATCAACACAACTTGCCCCTTGCATTCAGTTTAACCCCCCTTGCATTCTGTTTCATCTTACTATTAAGATGAAACGGTTGCCTGGTTGAGGCATTGGGACAATCCTTAAACTGAAATCCATTCTGAAATCCCCTTTTTTCACTGTGTTGCTGAGCAGTTACCACATATTGCTCCTGGGGGACTGCAGAAAGTATGCCGCTAGTTGTTTTGCTTGTTAGTAAGGTTAAGCATTGCATAACTTTCTGCATTTCACTTCTTGCATTAAACATTTTGAATCTAACGTCTACATCTATCTTTTTGAATCTATCTAATGGCTACATTGGAAGTTCTAAAATTAAGGACTTTCTGAAGAAACTACCTTTTAAACAATGTCAAAGCAAATGCATACTCTATTTGATGAAGAAGATAATTGGATTCTAAAATGGCTATAAAATATATTATATTCATCGGTCACATACTGTATAAGAAAAAGTCACAGATATGTGAAAATTCTCTTTGCCAACATAAACATCCTGGTTGAGACTTAGTACCACTCATTGTACAATGCGCTATATGTACCATCTTTTCTGTTTAGTACAGAACTTTTCACTGACAGCAACAGAAATGTTGAAAAGTCATAAAAACACTTAATTTTGTTCCTACACAGGCATTTCGAATACATTTGAACATTTTATAAAAGCTCAAAGTCATGTTTATAAACATCACACTGTATGCTGAATCCCTGAATCACAGTAAATTCCTATAACAAATCAAATTGCAGCTTTATTCAATACTGGATACTATATGACAGCAGGTTAAAGAGTTAAAAGTCAAAAAAAATAATTTTTAAATCACACGCAACTCATTTACTGGTGGTGATCTCATAATCAAAAAATAATTGCAGGTCAAGATAAATTCAAGCAAATAGAACAGTAGTAAAGGCTCATGTGGAGAACTCTGAATGCCTGCTCAATCCTCACCTTTCCCTTCTTCTTTTTATCCCCTCCAAAGAACTTTCCGATCTGATCCATAACAGTTGGGTTCTTCTTACTGCGGCCCAGCCTGAATGTTGACTGCGAAGAGCTTGCAGATGCCATGCTGAGTGTTTGCTTTAATCTCTGCAGCGGTGTTTTTTTGTTGTTTTTTCCAAAATAGGAGTGAGGAAAGAGAGGGCAAAGAGGAAATCTAATTTAGGTCCTGCTCTGCACACTCGGAACCGCACTCTGAGTCAGATCCGCTGTGCTCCTGTATGGTCTGCAGCTCGTCAGACTCCGAGGGGCGGTCTTTGAAGGTGTTGTCCTCGCGACCTGGGGCATCTCGAGAAAAGAGGCGGACCAAGTGTGGGCGGGGCCCTGAGGCATTAGGGTCGGCTGTGTTCGGATGGTTCCAGCTGCTGAGATCTACTGCAGCGTTCATGGAGTCAGTCACCACTGGACTCTTGCTGGAGCACCCATTGTTCTGGTTAAGGTCCGCCTCCCCTTGTCCTGCACAGAAACATCGGGAGTTATCTGACATTTCACAGTAAGATCATTGTCATCACCTACCACCCCCCACTGTGCAGGCAACAAGTGCTACAGATTCTGTCATAAAGTCAAAAAAAATTATTTGAAAAAAGATCCAGAGGCACTGCAATAGACATGACAAATTATGGAAACTTTGCCATTTGTGATAAATTCATAGATAAGTAGTTTTTATGATTCTGTATATTTTTCATAAAACAGATCTAGAGATTCATAGATTTCAGAGCAGTGCTTCCTCAGGAGGTGGTCAGGTTTGAACCCAGTGCAGCGAGACAAAGCCGCTGCTGTACCACGCAACACAAGAGCATCTGAATTCTAGTGTTTCTTACAGAGCTTCTTTGTGCCACCACAAAGTTATTGTAGAAGGACAAAGGAAACAGTGTGACTGTAATAACTTCCCCAGGCTGGATTTTGCGAATTCTCTGCAAAGTGAAACTCATCTCATTTCTGAAGTCCATCTCGTAAGGTGTGGCTGGTCCAAATTAATCATTAAGGCAAGAGACAAACAGTTTGAGGCAGCTATTGAAAATGCTTCTATTTTCTATACAAATATTATTAGCCTAAATTTTTTAGTCAAAAGTGAAATTTCAGAGCATCTTTTGTACCTACTGTACAAATGGGTTACCAATGTTTCAAATGTGTTTACATTTGATTAGTGGCCTTAAACGAAGTTGTTTAAGAACCCAAAACAGTCATGTAGGTGTGAAATAAACAGCGATCCTACAACTTTAAAAAAAAAAAATTTGTGATTTGTTAGAGGAAAGTTAGTGGATGTATACCTAAATACATAGTAGGCTACATAATACAAAATATCAGATAAAGGCGTCTGTGGCAAAGAACAAAAAACTCCATTAGATCATTGAATAATGGAGAAAAGTAAATGAAGAAAAAGTAAATGCATGCAGTAAAATTCGTAACAAATTACTGTTAACAGATAATTCAAGTGTTAGCAGGCTGATCAACTAAAAACAAATACATACTGAGCTGGGCCCAGGAACTTCATGTAAACCCATACAAGAGTATAGTACCGCTACAAAATGTGGTATAAAATGGTATTATGAATGATCTTCTACGTAATTCTCAAGTACAACTAGATTTAGAATATGAATAAACCTCTTTGGTAACCCTGGACCCTAGAGTGCACCCTTGTCACTCCTTTCACCCACCTTTCTGCCATTTAAAACCCCTTACTAATGCAGGTTACAATCTGCAGAGGATTCAGCCATCAAACCCACTGTTCTCTCAACGACACTATAAGCTCAAGTATACTTCAGTATTTTTTTACGAGTACAGAGTGAAATTATAGGTTTTTCATTGTTACCTGTGCAAATTAAACCTTAAGGGGAAGTGTTTGTGCCTAAATGCAAAGTGGAAAGCACCCAAAACAAATTTCAGGCAAGTGTGTTGGGGCAGGTTGGAGTCGTCCAAGAGAAAGATTGGAGACCCCTGGTTTAGACCCTTTATCAAGAGTCTAACCATGTGCTGTAGCAGGAGCCATGAGTTCATTTCACTTGCTATTTTTGCCCTACTTTGAGGAATATTATTGTACTTACATATCAACCTAAGTGTTGCCATGTTTTGTTGTATGAACTTTGTATTTAAAATGTTGAATGTCTGGTGAAGCAACTTAGTTTTTATTTGTTTGTACACAGATTTTTCCTTCTTTTTTATTCATCTGCTGTGCTGAGTTTCCAGGTCGGGGAACCACTCCTGTTTCACCAGGCTCTTTTGAATTGGTTACACTAGTGATGTTTCGTTTATGCTTGCCTTGGACTTTGAACTGTATTCTCACTGCAGACAACAGCATACTGTGTACTGCCTCATTGGTGAATTCTCTGTGCCTTCCATCCCCACAAAGAGATCATTGAAATGCAGTGTTGGTTCATGCCTTGGTAAAATATTAATGTTCAGTAATGTTATGACAAAGGAAAAGGGTCGATATATATAATGCTGTTTATGTTCTTTTGAATATTTGGTTTAGAAAATGAAGCGAATGCAAGCACATGTGAACTTGAACAAAGTTACATGCTGGTTAGAATGCACGGTATGGACTGGACAGGACTTTCCCAGTGGGCAGGTCAAGTAGTGGGTCAATCAGCAAAACCGGCCGCTCTATCCAGTGATCACAGCGAGTGATCGCTTTACCCATTTGACTTCATCACGGAAATCTCTGTTGTATACTTGCATGATACAAGAAGCTAAAGGCTCCTTGCTGAAGCTAGTTGAACCAGATTAAATGGCCTTAACTATGTAAACTGCAGTGACGAGGTAAACTGTCCCCGACTGCAGATATGATCATGCAATACAAAACAATAATTGAGTTCTAGATTTCTTTTCTTTTTCTAATCCAGTGGAACAAAACAAAGGAAAACAACTGAGGAAGGTTTAAACAAAGACGACAGTTTAACCACAAATGTTAAACGCACTGACAATGAACAGAGGAAACTATGGGTTCAAATTCTACTAAATTCAAAGGCTGCATCCTAGTAAGGCTGCATATCTAGGCTACCACGTCATCGAAGGCTATGTCAATTTGAAGGATCCTTGAAAGGCAGCCTTCACTTTGCGTCTATCATTCAGCTTATTTTGAAAGATGCAGCAAGTTTATCCATCAATAACCCACAATCCTTTGCACATATCCAAAGAAAAGAATTAAAGGAAAGTGAATCTGAGCTCTTCCAATTTCACTATGCAGTGCAGTAAAACAATGATTTAGGACAGTGGTTCTCAATTCCAGTCCCGGGGTACAACTGCTCTGCACGTTTTGTAGGCCACAGACAGTTGTCATTAAGTGGATTTCATTAATAGAAAGTCAATTAATATGTATTTTTTCACGTTTAATGTTAATAGTATTTTTATGCCGGGACAGTGGGGGCAGAAACATTTATGACTTAGCCAAGCCATGAAGCTATTTGGGGCTACAAACCCATGTGTTTATAATTACGACAATACATTAAAATAATATGATAAGAAAAACCAGTTTGCAATCTCAAGCAACATAACAAGCGATTTTGTATGGCTAAAATAACTGGAAGCGGAAGACATCTGAAGTCTTGCTCATTTAAGTTACAAAAAGCTGCCCCCGCTCTTAGGATAGGAAGGACGTAAGACTTAACTGTAAGACTTAAGGACGCAATTGATAAGTAACCAACATATGCCTAAAGAAAAGAGGGGCAAAACTAGAAACAGGTAAAGATGGCAATATTGCTTTGTAATAGTGATGTTAGGATCTTGAACGAATCTTTCTTTTGAACCAGTTCTCAGGAAGTAACCGGTCGAGCCGGTTCACAAATCGAGCTGAATCGAACTTTAGTGATGACGCAGGACGCCCAGCCGAAGTAGCACGTCCAACTCAAAAAGAACCGAATGAGCCGGTTCAATTAACTGTCGAAGTTTGCCGAGGATTACAGAGGACTCCACAAGAACCGAATGAGCCGTGGCGAAGTTTGCCGAGGATTACCGAAGATTCTGATGAGTGAGTTGACGATACTGTGCAAGTCCGAGGTGCGTACTGGAAATATGCTTGTTTATTATGACTGTTATTAATTTACATTTTATAAAAACCTGCAAAAACCTTTCTGTCGAGTGATGTAAATACATTTTACAATAGTTTATTGTGCATGCATATTATATTTAAAGTTGCTTAAGTGAAATCAAGGAGTTTGTAAGACTGGTTTATTCATTCTTTATACGGTAGACATGTAGAACATATCCGCGTTTGTGCATCAATGTCTGTAATGTGTGCTGTAGGTGCAAAACTTTTAGGAATCTTATCCAAGTTGTAGGCTAGTCAATATTGGTCAATCAGTCGTATCTGAGGATCCGCGAATGAAACTGTGACCACAAACACCATTAACTTAAGTGAATTATATGGCAATAATCAGCCATATGCTTTCACACAAATAACTTTACTTTTGAATGTTTCATGCGTTGACACAAATGACTTGTTTGAATTTTTCATTGATACAACATGGCACTGAGTTGTTAGAAAA